GCGTGAGGCGTGTTTGAAGTTCATCCGATTGTTTGATCCGCATAATCGAAGGTTTGGATCAATGAAGCGCGCGATGGGAGCACTGAAATAGTATGGGCGGAGGGGAAGACGTTATGGCGATTTAGACAACAGAACAGAGCACATATAACGAACCATAACAGAAGACCAAATCCTGGGGCCGATCATCTACAATGTATTCGGGTCTTCCAAGTGGCTGTTCATCAGCATATTGCTGGGGCACATATTGGCGTCCGTCCTGGCGTTGGTGTGCCGCCCACCCCGCCCGCCTGCGCGAACTCAGGCGGTATGTGGTTGACCTCCTCGTCACCTCCGGCGAGAGCTAAAAACAGGATACGGCGCGTCAAACCCGTCGCGGGCAGCAACGTCGCATTCAGACCGCCGCCCGCTCCGGAAGCGGCCAGGCAATAGCCTGTTCCAGCCGCGAATCACCGGCCCCAGCAACGGCCCGCCCAGCAGCATAGTGACAACCGCCACAACGGTGGCCCCCCCAACTAGCTGTGAAGAAACGGGTACAAAGGCCAGGCATCCTGCACTAAGAGACTATCTCAAAACAAATCAGTCTCGCTGGTTTCCTCATGTCGCTGACCGAGGCCTATAGATTCCCGCCTGCGCGGGAATGACGGGTGCCTGCGTGGGAATAACGCATTGGGTGCTGCTGCAAGTTTTGAGATAATTTCTAAATAGAAACCCGCATCCGCATAAATGATGACCTGGGTAAAACCAAAGGCAAGAACACTGAAGCACTTGGGAGCGACGGCCTTGCCCGCAATTGCCGGACCGAAGTGCAGGGGAGTGATTGGCATGGCTAGCCAAACGCCGCGGCGTCCCCGCTAACCCGAGGCAGCCAGTTCATGAAACACTTCATGCCAGACTTCATCGCTGCCTCGACCCATACCGTTGCGGTGAACGATTACCCCTTGGGAGTCGAAGGCGATTTTGGTTGACTGTATGGTCACTTTGAAGTCGGTCAGCAGGTCTCCCAGCGGTATCGCCACCGGCCAAGGGTAGCCTTTTTCCACGCGGAACTCTTCAAACATGTTTATGTCTTCGCCGGGAAAGACGCCCACCGCGTAGAATGAGACTTGGTCGGAGTATTCAGGGTAAATCCTTTTCAACCGCCGCAACTCAGCGGTACAGACTCCTCAAGTGGTGGCGAAGAAAAACAGGAAGGTGGGGCGGCCGTCGTCTATCAATTGGGCGGATGAAATTGTTGTCCCGTCCGCTAATCCCAAGTTGAAAGCGGGAATGCGGTCGCCTTCATCAGCGCCTACCTCGATTCCCTCAATGGGAATCCGATGCACCTCCCCGGGCGTCGCCAGGTTTACATCCACCGTGGGAGCGGAGGATCGAGCTGGGTCGGAGCGGCGCAACTCGCTGGAGTCGGAACAGCCCATAGCCGCAAGCGAAACGGTTAAAAGTACCATCAAAATGCCCATGAAAGTTGACAGCCTCATGAACTTGCCCCCCTGCCAATTGACAGTCCAGTGATAGTACTCAATCAGGGAAACGTAGTCTTCTATCTTATGCTGATATTGTATCGCCCAGAGGACACTTCAGTCCTTCCGCTCATTGTGCAAGGCTTAAAATCCCCGCGGAGTGTTGGATGGCACAACGCCTCAGTCCAGAGACCAAACCTCGAAGTCCTCGAATTTCGTGCTGTATCCGTGGAATTCGGCTCCTTCGTAGAATCCGGTGGCAACCCAAATATCCCCGCTTTCTGGACTTGGACCAATATCCAACCGACCGACAAATTCCCCGTTAATCGAGAGCAACCCCGCGCCGCCGACTGCCGCAATGGCGATACGGTTCAAGTCACCTGGGCCAAGGTTCAGGGGCGCCGCGCCGCTAACTTCATAGGATGGGGAATCAGAGCCGTCTCTAACAAAATGCAACCAGGTCCCATCACTGTTGATGACTACCCCTTGAAACTGTTCGTTGCCCGAGTGTCTGAATAAGATACCGTGGCTCCAAGGGCCAACAGTCTGAGAGTACGGGTTTACGAAGCTCGCATGAGCCAAGAAGTCCTTGACGTCGATGCCCATTGCGTGACCTCGGATCTCCCCGTCATCCTTGTGTGGTAGCTCGCCGTCCTTGGTTCCTGCCCACTTGGTTTCATTGACCCTGAATCCTCGGAATACTGTTGACCGCCCCAGTGTTTCGTGGCCTCTATAGTAGCCGGTGATTACCGATACATCGCCGGCCTCGCTTCCCTGAGAGAGAGTTAACCCGGAGATGAACTCCCCGTTCAAAAAGAACAGGCCTACCTGCCCTGCGGCCACAAGTTGTATTTCGTTGGCGTCACCGGAACCGGTCTTCAAGCTTTGGATACGTCCACTGTCCAGTTCAACGTCAACTCCCTGTTGTCCTTCCCTCCGGTAATGGCCCCACTTACCATTACCGGAGACAATGAGTATGCTGAGGCGGTCTTCTTTCGACTGACGGAAGACGAATCCATAGTCCCAATTTTCTCCTCCTTCCGGATTGTCAAAAACAGCCATTGCTACGAAGTCAGACAATAACACTCCTGAATTGAACTCCTCAATGAATTGGTCTGTATCGTGCTGAAGCACTCCGTCTTCCGGCCCAAACCGACGTACCCCGGCCTGTTGCCACCCGGAAGTAGGAGTCGGCGTTGGAGTCAGAGTAGGCGTAAGTGTCGGAGTGGGTGCAGGCGTGGCTGTCGGAGTGGGTGTAGGTGTAGCCTTGATGGTTCCAATCTTCAGAGAGGGGAGAACATCAGAGACAGTGCGCGCCGATACGGCGAACCCGAATCCTTCCAAGGGTACGCCAAACAGTGATTCCCGAACAACGAAGGTATTTATCCCCACGACCTCGGCGTCGAGAGTGATTAGAGGCCCGCCGCTATTGCCGGGATTGATTGCCGCGTCAGTCTGGACCAGCCATCGCTGGGTGGCATTGTCAAACATTACACGCGATACCACACCGCTAGTAATCAAGGCCTGGCCACTTCCAAGCGGATATCCCATCGCGAACACCGCCTCACCCGGCGTTAACTGCTCACCAGCCAAGGGCACGGCGTGAAACTGGGCAGAGCAACAAATTTCTAGGGCGGCCAAGTCCTTTTCTGTGTCGTATCCCAAAAACCTGGCCGGGTAAGAACTCGAGTCGTTGACAATGACGTCGATGTCGTCGCCTTGCTGGACGACATGATAATTGGTGAGTACAAGCCCGGCTCCCCGCTCGTCGACTTCCACGATGACGCCTGACCCCGACCCTGCCCCGGCGATGACCTGAACCACGCTGGGTCGAACCTCGGATACCACCGACGACAAGTTCCGCGTGGTAGCAGGGGTCGCCATCGGCACTTGAGTAGGAGCCGGCGCTAATGTCGGTGTAGCTGCCGGCAAAGGTTCAGCCGTTGGAGTCGGGGCCGGACTCGGTGTAAAGGTTGGGGGAGGCGGCATTGGAGTGGGCATTGGGGTAGGTATCGTGGTGGGGGTAGGCGCCAGTGTAGCAACCAAAGTTGGCGGCGGCGTGGGGGCCTGAGTAGACGTCGCCTCCAAGGTTGCTTTAATGCTGGCGGAGACGGTGGCGTCAATGTTCGGAGTAGGCGTAAAGGTAGGCGCAGGCATCGCCGAACTGACCGCCGCCTCCACCGTCGCCCCTATATCGGGCGGGGGGGCCTGTTGGCAAGCCGTTAGCGCGACAGCGTAAGACGCCAATAGCGCCAAGGCGAGAAGAAAACGCGCTCCTCGGTTTGTAGTTGAGAGTCTGGGTTTCAAGCTAACACGCTGGCTGGGTCCACCGAGCAACCGTGCCTCGACGGCCTCCAGCGCCACGGCCTCCAATAATCTCCAAGTAGATGGAATGGGGTAAACATCAAATGGTCACCCCTGCAACACACCTTCAACCGGCGAAATGGCCGGTAACCGGTTGGTGGCCGGCGTTTTCTACATAAGGTTCCTCACGGAACAGGGCCATGTCTTTCATCAAGGGGATGTCCTGGATGGAGAACAGTATGGACTCCTCCATTTCATCGCTGGCGTGTTCATGCCAAGCCCAGGACGGCACAACGAAGAAATCTCCTTCCTTCCAATCGAAACGCTGGCCGTTGATCACGCTGTATCCTTGGCCGCGGAACACTTGGTACACTTTGCTACTGGTGTGGCGGTGGGCCTTGGTGCGGATGCCCGGCCGTATCAGTTGCGCCCAGCAGGTCATCGACCGCAGTACGGGCCGCCCCGTGGTTGGGTCGCTGAACTCCATCGCCACGTCATCGAAGGGGTCGGACCCCAACTCCGACAGGCCTTTGAGAGCCTCGTAGGTGCGGTCCCACTTATAGTGCCACAGTGGTGAAATAAGGGACTTCTTCCGCGCCCCAAACGGGCCGCAGCGCGCCGGAGGCGTACTTGCGTATTGAGTCGCCAACGCCGGTGATGGGTTGCTGGTCTTCGGGGAACGCCTCGTAGAAGTTAGCCCTGAGATACCCTACAAGGGGAACATCCAAGCCGTCCAACCAGATCATGGGGTCGGTCCCTTCATTAGTGTGGTCGTGCCAAGTCCAGGATGGGGTGAGAATCAGGTCGCCAGGCTCCATGTAGCACTTGTCTCCCTGCACCGTGGTGAATGCCCCGTTGCCGGTAAGAATCCAGCGGATGGCGGTGGGTGTGTGGCGATGGGCCGGGGCGCACTCTCCAGGCAGCAGCAACTGGAGGGCGGCGACCATAGTGTGGGTGGTGCCGCGGTCGAGACCGGGAGTCGCCAGGCGCATGGTGCGCCGTTCCACGTCCCGGTCCGGCGTAACAATCTCGCCGCTCTTGAGGACCAACGGCTCGACTTCGGGCCAGCGCCAGAGGAACGGCTCGATTTCTGGAGGACGCCGGTGCTCGCGGTTCACCCAGCCTGGGGATAACCTTATATCGTCCGACGCAGCATAGTATTGCTGTAGCTCTTCGGGGCCAAGTTTGTCCTGCACTGCCACGGTAAGGCCTCCTTGTTGGTGCTGTCTTATATCTTATACCTCGCGAATATATCACATTGCAGAAAGACTGGTCTCGAATGAGGGTCTTTTGGCGACAATTCCGTCGACACCCAACGTTCGTGATGATAGGATGCTAACGTCTCCGCACCGACTAACGGGCGGGGGCACACCACCAAAGTTGGAGGATCAGGCCATGTCAGGAAAGGCTTGGATTATTCTACGCTCTTCAACAGGGGCCTACCTCCTCCCCCCGGCTCCGTGGGAAGGTCACCCAAAGTACAATTTCATTGGCGGTCACAGCGACCCCGAATTGGTTCCCGTGGAAGGGTTCATCGAGTCCGCCGTCAATGCGTTCCGTGGCGACCCGAGAAACATTTCCATGTATAACTTCGACGGCGGCCCTCAGGGTATCGTCCCGCTGCGTCGTTTCCTGGTTGAGAAACTTGCAGCCCAGCGCGGGATCAGCACTACGATAGAGGAAGTCCTGATCACGTCTGGCTCAGGCCAAGGGATCGAGCTGATCAACGAAATCCTGCTGGAAGAGGGCGATACCGTAATTGTAGAGGCGTTCAGCTTTTCCGGCGCCCTGGGCAATCTGAGACGCCGCAAAGTCAACATGGTCGGCATCGACGTAGACCGGGACGGCATGAGCATGGACCAACTGGCCCAGGTGCTGGAAGAGTTGCGGGCCAAGGCAGTGCGCCCTAAGTACATATACACGATTCCGACTCTCCAGAACCCTACCGGGACGGTGATGACCATGGAGCGCCGGTACAGGATGCTGGAACTGAGCGACGAATTCGGAGTCCCGATATTCGAAGACGAATGTTACGCCGACCTTATATTTGAAGGCGAATATGAGAACGCGATCCGGTCTCTGGACGATTCCAACCGGGTGCTGCATATAGGCTCTTTCTCAAAAACCCTGGGGCCCGGTACACGGCTTGGATATGTGGTGGCGCCGTGGGAGGTGATGGGCCGGTTGCTATCCAGGAAGAACGATGCCGGCACCGGCGTCATGGACCAGATGATGGTTGGCGACTATTTCACCAACCACTATGACGACCATATCCTGGAAGTTCGTTCAGCTTTAAAACGCAAATGCGACGTACTTGGCAGCGCGCTCCGCGAGTCATTCGGTCCGACCATTGATTTTGAAATGCCCCGGGGCGGCATGTACCTGTGGGTCAGGCTCCCTTCCGGAGTCGATTCACGCAAACTGGCGGCCCCGGCGCTAAAGGAAGGGATCGCATTCAATCCGGGTCCGGATTGGTCCGCCGACCCGGATGAGGCCGCCGGCTACATCCGCCTTTGCTTTGCCCTCCCCTCGGAAAACGAGATATGGGAAGGGGTTGAAAAACTGGCGGAGGTGTTCCGGAGGGAGGGCGCCCTGCCCTGAGCTCCCTCAACACCGGGAGTGGATCTAACCAACGATCGTCGAAGGCTGACGGAAATCATTGCCTGAGCCGGTCCACGAGTTCATCTACACACGAGTCCTGTTGGAAAGGTCCACGCATTCAATGGACACCCCGTCCAAAGGAAGTCCGTCCCTTTCTCGGTCTATAAGGATTACCCTCATCTCCTCAGCAATCATGGCGGGAGTCTCCGGGTAAAGAGGCGCAGATTAAAGAGGGGCAAATTTCGGATCGTGCCCCTTTCTGAAGGCTACATCCCGGCCCACGGCCCCGTCGTCTCAAACATTCCTTAGCAGAATGGTGGCTTCCTCTATGTTTCGCATAACCTGACCCAGTCGTCTCCCTGACTCACACATCCGGGCAGAGCAGGCCAGTAGGGGGAGAAGCCTCCACCCTTTCCATTCTCCAGAGTAACCATGAATGCCCGACTCTCAGTAATCACGCACGTCCCTAACCTACCGATAGTTCCTTTCAAAGTCGGGAAATAACAAAGCCTCCGGAAGATCTTCGGAGGCTTCATTGAATATCATAACTTGGTAGCGGGGGTTGGATTCGAACCAACGACCTTCGGGTTATGAGCCCGACGAGCTGCCACTGCTCCACCCCGCGACAGGGCTGGAAAGAACAAGAAGCTGGAATTGCGAATCAGTTTGAAGCTCTTAGCGTGGGCCAAGCCTCTCGACCGGTTAGTACCGGTATGCTGAAGATGTTACCATCCTTACACACCCGGCCTATCAAGCAGATAGTCTCTCTGCAGTCTTACTCCCTGGCCAGGCCAGGGAAGGGAGGCCTAATCTTGGGGGATGCTTCGCGCTTAGATGCCTTCAGCGCTTATCACTTCCAGACATGGCTACCCAGCGCTGCTCCTGGCGGAACAACTGGCACACCATAGGTCTGTCCCTCCGTCTCTCGTACTAGGAGAGGTTCCCTCACGCCTCCTGCGCCGCGGCGGATAGAGACGAACTGTCTCACGACGTCTGACCCAACTCACGTACCTTTAACCGGCGAACAGCCGGACCCTGGGCACGCCTTCGCAAGGCATGGAGACGAGCCGGACATCGAGGTGCCAACACTCGCCGTCGATGTGAACTCTGGGCGAGATTCAGCTGTGATCCCCGGGTGGACTAGCTTTACCGATAAGCCACGGCCCTTCCACGCAGTGCCGTACGGATCACTTGCCAGACCGACTTTCGTGCCTGCTCGACTTGTAGGTTATTGCAGTCAAGCCCCCTGAGTGCCATGCGTTCGGTGGACGATTTCCAGCCGTCCTGAGGGGACTTGGGCGCTCCGTACTTTTAGGAGGAGCAACCGCCCAAGTTAAAAGGATTAAGCATCACCTCGTCCTTAATAAACTCACCTACTTGTCTATCGCTCTTTTCCCAACTTTTTTCATCGGGGCCCCTCGCTACCAGGCCACTGTTCCCCAGAGTTTTGCTGAGGTAGAACAAAAACAGCCAAGGGTGGTATTTCAACGATGGCTCCACCACGGACTGGAGTCGGGGCTTCAAGCCTCCCACCTATCCTACACATGACAGCTCCCAGCTCAATCCCAGCTGCTGCATGTAAAGCTCCACGGGTCTTTTGTCCTGCCGCGGGTCGCCGCGCGTCTTCACGGGCACCGCAAGTTTCACCGAGCCCCCGTCGAGGACAATGGCCAAGCTCGTTCAACCATTCATGCGGGTCGGAACTACCCGCACAAGGGACTTCGCTACTTAGGCATTTGTTACTCCCCACGACTCTAATGGCATCGCGGGAGGGTCGATCATTTCTGCCGGCCTCTGCATGTCGCCATGACAATGATCGGACAGCTCTCTATCCCATGTTCCGAAAGGGATTCCGGCGTATGTCTCTGAGGATTCCTAAAGGTAGGCACGCCCCGCCACATCAATGTCCGATAACCCCACGCCCTCGACCCCAGCATCAAGTGGATAATAGTATCGACATAGGATCAAGACGTGCATGCGCTGCAAACGCTGCGCAATACATACGCCTTGTCAGGCCTTTCCTGCTGATGGGGTGGTTTTGCGCCAACGGTCACATTTTCAACTGCTTAAAGGCAGTAGCACCGGATACTAACGGACTGTCACAGCACTAGAGCGGATTTAGCAACGGCCTCGACATAGAGACATTGGACACAAGCCATTCATAACATCGCTCGGTGACCGTAGAGTGACGGCGCGTTCACGGGCTTCAGTTCGCAGCTCTCACCGCTCGAACCTAAACCTTCTGGCACTGGGCAGGCGTCAGCACTGTATACGGAGGGTTGCCCCTTAGCACAGACTGTGTTTGTGTGCAAACAGTAGCCCGGCCTTCTGCTCTGCGCCCCTGGAAACGCTCCACTCAGCGAGTGGCATTCACCCCCGGGGCCCGTGTTTCCCAAAGTACAGAGCTCTTTTGTCTAGTGTCTGCATTAACAGGAGGTTGACGCGCGAACGCTTAGGATCTTTATCCTAGCCCACCAGTGGCGGTTTGCGGTACGGTCGCCATAGTTCCATAACCACGAAGCTTTTCTCGTCGGCCTGGGATCAGCAGAATTTCGTATCCCGAAGGATCCGATCTCCTCACCCTCGGCTTGTGAAACGCCGGAGTGCTTTGCTGCTCCGGCTCGCCTACGGACAAGGACACACCATGTCCAATAGGCATGCTCTACCTGCCCTTCCGCCCCCCTCCTTGGTTTTAAAGCGAAACAACGGCGGTGCAGGAATATTAACCTGCTGTCCATCGCCTTCGGCGCTTGCCTACGGCTTAGGACCGACTAACCCTACGCCGATAAACGTTGCGTAGGAAACCTTGGGCTTTCGGCGTCAGGGATTTTACACCCTGATTTACGTACTCATTACGGGATTCTCACTTCCCCGCGCTCCAGCAAGCCTCACGACTTACCTTCTTCGCCCGAGGAACGCTCCCCTACCACGACCCAGGCAGACAGAAACCAGAATTCGACCGATATCGACGGCGGTTGCGCATGGCGCTCTCACCGAAGTGACGGGCCGGTTGGCGCGACCTTTGGAGGCCGGGTCTTTCCTTCTGTACCTGAACATCCACGGCTTCGGTGACAGGCTTGAGCCCCGTTACATTTTCGGCGCGAAACCCCTCGACCAGTGAGCTGTTACGCACTCTTTAAAGGGTGGCTGCTTCTAAGCCAACCTCCTGGTTGTCTGGGGAACTCCACTTCCTTTCCCACTTAGCCTGCACTTGGGGACCTTAGCCGGTGGTCTGGGCTGTTTCCTTTCGACTACCGCACTTATCTGTGGCAGTCTCACTCCCGGGTATCGGTTGAACGGCATGGTGGTTGATGTGGGTTTGGTAAGCTCACGCCCCCTAGCCCATTCAGTGCCCTACCTCCGTCCACCTGTGCCCGAGGCTGCACCTAAATGCATTTCGGGGAGAACTAGCTATTTCCGAGTTCGATTGGCATTTCACCTCTACCCACAGCTCATCCCAAGCTTTGTACTAGCCACGAGTTCGGTCCTCCAGTCCGTTTTACGAACCTTCAACTGGCCATGGGTAGCTCACTCGGTTCGGGTCTCATACATGGAACTAATCGCCCTATTCAGACTCGCTTTCGCTGCGGCTCCGGGACTACAGTCCCTTAACCTCGCTCCACACAGTAAGTCCCCGGATCATTCTTCAATAGGCACGCCGCCATCCCGACGTTAATTTGCGGACTACGACCTTCTGTAGGCTTACGGTTTCAGATCTATTTCACTCCCTGCTAGGGGTTCTTTTCACCTTTCCCTCACGGTACTGGTACGCTATCGGTGACCAAGGGTATTAGCCTTGGAGGGTGGTCCCCCGGTATTCCCACAAGGTTTTCCCGTGCCCCGTGTACTCAGGTAACGCGCCAGGAGTCCGTCCCTTCGCCTACGGGCTGCACACCCTCTATGACGGTCCTTCCCAGGTTCCTTCGACTAGAGATGAGATTTGTAACTCTCTCGGACTTATGAGGGGTCCAGGCGCTCCCTACAACCCCGGTGCGACATAGGCCCTCATGCCGTTAGGTCGCACTGGTTTAGGCTGTTCCCCGTTCGTTCGCCACTACTAGGGGAATCTCGGTTGATTTATTTTCTCGGGGGGTACTTAGATGTTCAGTTCCCCCACTTAACGATAAATCGGGTTGACCGACTCAACACCGGTCAAGGTTTCCCCATTCGGGTATCCCCGGCTATGCCCGCTAGACGGCTCACCGAGGCTTAACGCAGCCTTGCCGCGCCCTTCATCGGCCCTTGGTCCCAAGGCATCCACCGTAAGCCTCTTAATAACTTGACCCACGCAAGGAACTTCAAACCTTCCGGTACCTCGGCCCCATCGGCCGAGCCCGGACTTTAATTTGCGCCCGGGACGCTACGGTCACAGCCCGGACACACCTGAAGTATTTTAGCAGGATTTATTCAGGTCGCGTATTCTCTTTTTAAGGTGCGGGCAAGAAAAACGGTCCGGCTCACCCCAAACGCTGTTCAGGTATCCCTTGGAGGTGCTTGCCTATGTCAGGTGTTCGTTACCATCAATATGGATGCCTCACCTCTTGCAGACAAGGATGTATACACCACTTAGCCCTAGTCAGGGCTACTGCCCCAATTCCAGAATCGACCGATCTACCGGCCCATTGGATTCGTTCACACGATTCGTAGCCAAGGGGAATCAGGCTTTTCGGGGGCATCATTTCAGGTGGAAGACGTCGCCCTCAGAAAAGTGGAAGCAGGCTCCTGTCCCAGGAGCAATTGGCCGCCGTCCGCCATTGTCGTCTGCCTTACGAAAGCATGGGCTGCCACGCTGTGTGCGTCCGGAAGTACCGGTCGAGGGGCGAGGCGAATAGATTGAGCTGGCCCTGCCGCCGAGTGCGCACGGTCCACCGCTGCACGGAGGCAGTTATCTGCGTGGTGCAGGCACGACGCATGCTGGCCCGGAGCCTCGCAGGGGAGTTCCTCGCCAGCCATGGACTTCTCCCAAGTACGGGCGGTGGTGTCATAGAGATAGGCTCGGCCGAGCCGGCCAGAGCTTCAACCGTTCCCAGGTCGGCACTGCTTGTCTTGGGCGCCGGCCACGGGCGCTGGTTCGCCGGTCAATTTGCCCCCGAAAAGCTCCACCAGAGAGTCCACCGCGCCGCGAGCGGCGCCAAGGGCCACCGCCGAGAGCATGGGGACATTGAAGGCCGGATAGGCATAGCGGCGATCGGGGAGCAGGGACGTTCCACCCAATGAGTGGCGCTTCACGTAGTTGTCGGCCACGAATACGTCTTGATGGCGTAGTCGTGCTGCCGGTCCCCGCAGGCCGGACGTGTACCAGGTGTCGAGGATGGCGCACGTCGGACGCGGGCAGGTGGAAGCGCGCGCCACTGGGCACACCGTTCTCGCGGTGATGTGGCCGTTATCATCGTGGAGCCAAGCCGCTGTGGGAGCCTTGTGGCGTGGTGGCAGCGCTGCCGAAGGGCCCACTGCCCGGTGAGTCTCCAGCCGCCCTCAACACGCAGGCCCGCCCGTGGGGCACCAGCGTCCCAGCAATAACCGTGGGCTGGATCTGGCCCGGAGTTACGTCGACGAAGATCTCCCGGCGAACCTGGTCGGGGCACGATGCGCAACCGTTACCAGAAGGAGGGCGGTGGCGATGATCCTGGTCAACCAGCCCACCGAGGGCTGCGTGGACAGTTCGTCGATGACCCTGGCGAAAGCAACGAAGGAACAACAAAGATAGGCCAGCCCTCCCAATCTCCCACATCACCCACGAAAAACGGTGACGGGGTCGGCCAACGGTCCGCCGCGTTGTTCAGGCCCGGTCAGCAGGTGGAGAGCCTGCGCCCGCGCAGCTTGTCGGCCAGCAGTCCGGTGACGTTCGCGGGCTGCGTCCATGCGTCGGCGGCGCTGCGGTATTTCGTGGCACCAGTGCCTCGGCGAGGGCCAGACAGGACGCGGGACGGCAGGCAGATATCGGGCCGCGTTCCTGGTCGTGTCTCAGTGCTGCCTCCTTTATGCGACAGATTGGTGTGAAAAGGGGCTGAAAAAAGGGGCTGGGCGCTGCTCTCGCGTTGTAGGGCGGGCAGCCAGAGGGAGCCGTGCGATTGATAGGGTAAGTGACTCTAACCGTCCCTTGAGACCGCCGGGCGTTTTTCAAGGACGGCTTGCACACCGCCTCCTGTGATCCGCGGCGGTCTTGCGGCGGCTGGCCTGGGCCACGTGGGCAGGTCGAGACTCTCTCGAAGTTCATGGTCCAGGCTGCGGTTTGTACAGGTACTTTGATCAATGCGTGGGCCGGTTGGTCCCGTGGCAGGCGAGTGTCAGTGCCATGGCCGCCTTCATCATCTCTCACCGTCTGGCACCACTGGCTGGCGATGCCCAGCGTAGGCCTCTTGCCATCGATGCGGTCGCCGGTGTATTGGAGGAGCAGGGTGTTGCTCATGCCATGAGCGGGGGTAGCTGCCAGACAGGATCCGTCGCCGGGATCAGGCCCATGCGGGAGAAGGCCTCGAGAAGATGGCGCCCTCGGCGGCGATGCGAATGTCGCAGGCCAGCGCCACGCCCATGCCCACGCCCATGGCGTGGCCGTTGACCGCGGCGATGGACGGCTTCTGTAGCTTGTGGATGCGCAGCGGCACCAGTGGGGCGCCCCCGGCGTACTCCACCCGGTCGTCGCGGTTGGCGAAGCGGGACTCCATCTTGCCCCAGGAAGGGGTTCCGCTCGGCCCCGGCGGCTTTCCGCCTCCTGGATGTGCGGTTGAAGTTACGCACTGTTGGCGCCAGAGCTGAAGGATGGGTCGGTGCCGGTAATCAGCAGCACCCGGCATTCCGGGTCGTCCTCGAAGCGGTCCAGCTCGGCCGGACCTCCGAGTGCCATCTCGGGGCCCAGTGCATTGCGGGTGGGCGGGTCGTGCATGGTCAGCACCAGCACGCCGTCGCGGTTTTCCGTCTTGATGAATTCGTAGGCCATCTGCCGTCTCTCCGTGAGGCAACTCGAGTGGTGATGCCGGAACCGGTTTGTCCAGCAGCCCCTGCACAAGGTGGCGCGACCGCGCGCGACTAGCCCAGATATCGCATCACAAAAGGGGATGCTGTCATCGAGCAACCCCACACATTGCAGGTTACGCATCACGCCCAAGCTTCAAACAACAAGACCGCAGGCGGCCGAGTTGGGCTGCGGCGAGACGGCGAAGGATTGATACTGTTAGTCCCATCTGATGCAGCAGGAAGCATGCACGAATCTTGACAACATCGCCGCGTGAAGGAGACACCTTCCGACCCGGTACAGGAGGCCACCGCCATCTCCTCGATGGGCATCGAGGGGGACCGAAGTTGCCGCACGGCAACATGCGCCAGGTGCTGATCATGGACAACGAGACCCTGGGCTCGTTCGGGCTGGTTCCCGGCCAGATCAAGGAGAACATCACGGTCACCGGACTCGACCTGTCCCAGACCGTGGCCGGCAACGTGGTCTTCATCGGCGACGAGGTGACCATGGAGATCGTGGCGATGCGAGCCCTGCGGCAAGATGGACGCCATCCGCCAGGGTCTTGCAGTCCGAGCTGAACCACCGCCGGGCATGCTCTGCACGGGATCAACGGCGGCCCCATCAAGGTCGGCGACAACATCCGCGTCGAGCCGTAGGGCGGCGAAGACTACCGACTCCGCATGCAGCTACCCATCGTGGAGTAACAGTCCTGAGGAATGCCGACGGCCTACGTTGGGGCTGCGATAGTCACGCGGTTTCAGTAAAATAGAGTGCCGGGGAGCGTACGTTTCCCCGGCACTTTTGTGCGCTGCCAAGAAGCGGCAATCACTGCTTCTTTAAAGGAGGTGCCTATGGCAAACGTGTACTACGACGATTCGCGAAGTGGCTTCTACTCGCAGGAGGCCGCCAACGTTATCTTTACTGGGGCTATGGCCCGGCTTTACGGCTGGATTGCGCTGGGCGTGATCACCACCGGCGCGGTGGGCTGGATCAGCCACCAGGCCGGGATCCTGGAGAGCATCCTAGAGAACTTCGGGATGATCGGGTACTTCGTGGTGCTGGGCGTCTGGCTGGCCTGCATCTTCGGTCTCAGCTTCATGGCCAGCCGCGTTCCGCCTGCGGTGGCGGGAGGGGCCTATCTCGTCTTCACCGCCATCACCGGGTGAATGATCTCTCAGTCATCTTCTGGGCCTACACCGGCAATACGATCGTCCTGGCCTTTGCGCTGACCACAGGTGTGTTCGGGGTGATGAGCGCCATCGGCTACACCACAAAGCGCGACCTTTCGGGCCTCGGGACGATGCTGATGATCGGCCTGTTCGGCGTGATCATAGCCGGGGTGGTCAACTGGTTCATCGGCTCCAGCATGCTGTCGTGGATCATCACGCTGGTGGCGCTGCCCATCTTCCTGGGCTTGACGGTTTATCAGACCAAGCAGGTCAAGGACTGCCTGGAGGCAGCGATGCGCGGCGACGAGCGGGGAGCGGCCCGCCACAGGTGGCGATCATGGGCCCGTGGGTCTGTATGTTACCTTCCTGAACATCTTCCTGATCCTGCTGCGGATCCTGGACATCTTCAACGGCGATTAGTCCCCTGCGGCAGCTGTGTTTCCCGATGGGATGGGCCCCGGATGTTTGTCCGGAGCCCTCTCGTTTCCCTCGGGTTAGCCTGTACTGACGGCAGCGGAGCCACCCTTGAACGGCACGCGAACAAGATGTAGGCAAACTCGTACACCTCGTCGTCGGCCAGAGTGCCGAGGTCCAAGTTTTCGTGGATCAGTATGCCGTTCTCGGCGAGCAGATGCTTGTGCACGGGGAAGGCGTCCAGCGTCGTCAACGCCGGCACAACTTCCACGGCCAGGTATCCCCGACCAGGGTGATGTTCTGGCCGGAAGCCACTTGCCGACCTCCAAGGCCTTCCCGGGGCGCCGGCGTTGTACCTGTCGTCGTCCACAACCCCCAAGGTCTCCCCATCCGAGTGGAACAGCACTACGTCGCTCCATCGTGATGTCATCCTCAACATCCCCTGGGCTTCCAGGGCGCCATTGAGTCCTCCATGGTGACCACAGTGCCGGCGGTCCAGCATCTCACCCTTGTAGCCGGCGATGTCGATCAGGATTCCCTGGCAAAGATGGGTTTTAATCTGCTCACACCCAGTTGCTGCAGGCCGTAGGCACCCATTATCTCGTCCTCGGTGAGCCGTTGTAAACGCTCCTCTCTCCGTTGTGGATGTAACCGACGTGGGCGAGGCCGTCGAACTGGGTCCCGACTGGCCAAGTTCGCCGACGATGAACTCATCGTTGTAGATGAGGCCAACCGGGGAAGGGCCCCTCCGTGGGAGCGCCGGGGATGGTAGCCGAGTGTCCTGGTCCCGAACAGAGGCATACCATGCCTTATGGCTGCCCCAACTCGTAGATGTCTCCGGTCTCGATAAGATTTGCGGCCTCCAACCACACCTTTTCCGCAGTTATCCAGAAACATGTAGAAGTAATGCCATTTCTAACTATATAACAGTCGAATCTGGAGGTTGTTATTTCGAAAGGATGCGCGATTCTAGTTTGGATGACCGGAATTGTCAATTGGAATTGCGCAACCCAGCGGGAAGAACGGAAGGGCCGCTACCTTCTAAGGTAGCGGCCCCGTTGGTCGAGCTGGGTTGTGAGGAGTTCAGGCCTTGGTGGCCACCAGGGTGCTGCGGACTAGCTCGGCTACGTTGGTTACCTCGGGGATGTCGGACCAAGCCTGGACGGCTCGGTTCACGCAGACATTCATAAAATCAGGTTGCTCGCGCCTTTTATGTGTCACCTTCGAACAGTTTCAGTTGACGCGTTGCAAGGTTTGGATAGAAGTGCTTGCTTAAAATCCTGCCTGTTTCTTGGTACGAGGAGCCTACTTTGGGTCCATACCAATGCTCGGGCGCTTCAAGCATGCGCTCGAAGGTAAGTGTACCAACCTTTTGACCAGTACCGATCATAAAGGGAACATCGTGTGCTCGTACCTCGAGGACAGGTTGGACTCCTCCCAATCTTCCGTCCTCCCCGAACCCGAATCCAGGGTCGAAAAAACCTGCATAGTGCGTACGGATTTCGCCGCTGGAGGCATCGTAGGCTGTCATCTCGGCGGCAAACTCAGGAGGGATAGACACGCTTTCACTGGAGGCCAGAAGGTAAAACTCCTCAGGTTCCAGTATTAGAGACGGGCCCTTGTCCGCAAAAACCGGTTCCCAATAGTCTGCCGGATCGTAATTATTCTGCTTGGACAAGTCGAGAAGTTTGCTGTTTTTTCGGGCTCGATATCCAATACCCCTACTTGTTTTACCTGTAAGGTCAACACTCAGGCCAATGCGTGTGTGTCCGCGATCGAGTGTCATATGTCAGGTGGACCTGGCTATGGGATAATATAATCGGCTGGACAGATGTTCGGTACTCGGCACTTCACACGTGTCTCATGTCGGAGGGTCCTTAACAGCTGATTGGTTCAGTGCTGATAACCTAGTGCACGAACGTCGATGCTAAAGCGGACCTTGTGAGGAAAACTACCTCCAGCGATCATCGAGCCGTCGTAACCATCTCTATCTATATCACAACCGCGTCAAGCTGGAATTCGTATATAACTCTAGGAAATGTACGCAGCGTCCGGTTGAACTTTGTAGTCGAGCACTGAATGCCACTGGCAATCGTGAGGCTCTACCAAGAGCGAGATCAAATAGGCCGAGTTCCGTCGCGAGGATTGCTCCATCGGGATATCGAACTTTCCAATAGCGAGTTCGCGTAACTTGGTCTCCAGAGTTCCGGGCGAAGGTAGAAAACTACACTGCAAACTGTAGGCGATCTCGCCTAACCGCAAATCAAGGCTCGCTGGCTGAAAATTCTCTTCAGGAACCCTGTAATCACTCAAAATGATATTTTCCCACACCGCGCGTTTAAGCCACTTCGTGGGTAGGATTCCCTCATTCTCAACTTCGTAAATTGATTCAAACATTCCCTAATTCTGCTACCCGGATTGAATGGCGGTTTCTCTCCAGTACTTATCAAAGAGCACTTCAAACTGCAAAGAAGAGGCCATCATTAGCCGCACCAGTACCATATCCTTGAAGGATGACACTGCGCACGCCTTGGGCAAAACTCCTTCTGACGACGCACAATCGTTGCCAAATATGAAACATACGCTGTGTGGGTCGACAGATACTCACTCCTGTTGAAGAAGAAGGAACGCTCTTCACTCATTTCCATCAATCGCTCAGACCGCGGGGAGAGGGGCCCGCCGACGGGGTCGCGGCACCCAGAGATCCCACGCCGATACAGCAGGATCATATCCCAATGGATTTCACAGGCATTGGCCCAACAAAAGAGCACGAGGAATGCGATTACGAGCTGCACTAATAGACAAGTTGGCGAGGTGACGAGAAAACACCCGCCAGCTCGTCGCCTTGGTCCAGTACGACCCATGCACGCATTACCAAAGAGCAAACATCCTAGACGTCTGGCCGAGAAAGCCATTGCCGGGTTTTACGCTACGCCAAGCAGACGCAATTCCAGTCTTATACCGCGGGTTAGTGCATAGATATACATTGCAACACCACTATTTCCTCGATAATCGACAGCGTTAAGGGAAAACGACGGCTTGGGCAGAGAATCGGGGTTTCGGCCCGGCTTCTAGGTGCCGATGCGTTCGCTGAGCAACAACGGCACTTGTGCGATAAGGATAAAGTGATTGCTACGATGGGTACAGGCCTTGGTGGCCACACCAGGGGTGCGCTGCGGACCAAATAGCTCGCTACGTTGGTGAGACCTCGGCGATGAGTCGGACAGAGCGCCCATGGAGCGGCTCGGTCTACGTCGTCGTGTTGAGGATACGAGAGCGACGTTCTCCTCGAACTTGGCCCTGATGCTGGTCGAAGCCCCACGGGTTCTTCTGGCTGCCGAGGAATGTCTGCCCGTCCGGTGGTGTGCTCCAGGACGCGGCCGTCCTTGAGGGTGATCTTACCTTCAGGCCGTCTCGGAGTTGGTCAGCAGCTCCTCGGACTGGCCATTACGCGGGTGCGGACC